TTCCTGTACTGCAGTCCTTTCAGCCCCTTCCTGTTCCTGTCCTGCAGTCCTCATGGTGCCCTCCTGTTCCTATCCTGTAGTCCCCTTGGTACCCTCCTATTCCTGTCCTGCAGTCCCCTCTGCCCCTCCTGTTCCTGTCCAACAGTCCCCTCTGCCCCTCCTATTCCTGTCCTGCAGTCCCCTCTGCCCCTCCTGTTCCTGTCCAACAGTCCCCTCTGCCCCTCCTGTTCCTGTCCAGCAGTCCTGTCTATTCTCTGCCCTGCTGTTTGATTTCCCTGGTCTCCACCCCTGTATGTCCTCCGTAGGGCACACTTCAGGCAGAGGGGTACTGTCACATCTGCCTGATCCTCCTCTCTCTTCCCTCACATGGTTCTCATGAGCCACACCTGTTGCTTGTTGGCCCCTGTTAGTCTCTGCATTTAAGTACCAATTTGTCTCTTTCTCACAAGTCATTGACATCGCGCTGTCTGTAAGCCCATGTCCATCCCATGTTTAGTCTTCTTTTTTCGATGCCTCATGCTCCTGTTTTTTTCCAGTCCCAGTTTGTTCAGTTCATGTTTAGTTCAATAAAAAACCCTTTTTGTTTTGACCGTCTGCTCTCAAGTCCTTCATGTCATGTCCTTGGTTTTTTTGTGTGACTATTAGCAATTTTTCATTTTATCACACTTAAAATATAATATATTGGATTATTTCAGTTGTGCAAGTTTAGTCTGAGGTCTAGCCTCTCATTCAGAATACAAATGTATTGATTTGTTTAAACCTACCTAAAGTTGTTTTGAATTACCCCTTTATCTTCAAATGCTGACAACAAAACCAGAAAAAAACAGACATTTGGATTCCATTCCATCCCTGGATTTTGTTCTTCCAAATGGTCATTGTCGTAATGTTATTTTATTTAATTTGGTACTTAAATACAACAACAACAACAAATGTATTTTTGTATAGCGCATTTTCACAAACCCTGAAGGGCATTCCTTTTTAAAAGCTAAATCCTGAATCCTGAACCCTCAGAGTAGTTGCACACATGCAATGTATTTAACAGTGGGGCCAATTGATGAAGCTGTCAGCCCCCTAACCACCTGTAGTCATGCAAAAAAAGCATTTTAACCATGAAAGCCAGCCCTCAGAACACGGAAAACAAGGTTAAATAATGCAAAGCTGTTTCATTTTCAAGCCAATCAATATTCTTGGACACTTAAAATTTGTCGACAAGTCCCAAGGCCTGCCAATTGCTCTTGCTTTTTTTTAATCCACATTTAATTATGGCCATATTGATTTTCCTACCATCAACAAGCATTTAAGCAACATAATCCAATCTGGGTTAAAATAACTTGAAAAAAATTCAAAGTACATTGTTTATTGATTTATGTTAAGTGCTGCAAGGTGAATTGTAATTGTACATCAATTAATACATTTTAAGATTAAAAGATAACTACAAAAGGAGCATACTTGTCTTGAGAGAGTGATTTAATTTAATATATACACCCGGTTGTTTAACATCTTAGAAACAAATTACAGGGCACATGTAGGGAATACCTTGAATGGGATACCAGTCCATCACAGGGTGCGAGGCAGTGTACACCCCGAATGGGATACCAGTCCGTCACAGGGTACGAGGCAGTGGGAACTAGTCCATTATAGGGCACATGCAGGGGACACCCTGGGTGGGATACCAGTCCTTCACAGGCCACGAGGCAAGGGAAACAATGTGTGGGATTCCAGTCCATTGCAGGGCACGAGGATACCCTGGATGGGATACCAGTCTGTCACAGGGTACAAGGCAAGGGACACCCTGGATGGGATTCTGGTCCATCACAGGGCACGAAGCAGGAAATCTGTAAGAATACAGGGACAACTTGCAAACTCCCCACATACAGTGGAAAGCAATCAAACCCACAGTTCTGGAGGCGGGAGGCTACAGTGCTCCATTCTAGATTGAATCCATCTGTGCACTGCAGTGCTTCTTTCTAAACTCCTCCATTCTCCAGTGCTCCCTTCTGGGCACTACAGTGCTGCCACCTACAGTGCTCCCTTCTACACTGCTTCCATCTGAGCACTACAGTGCTTCCTTCTAAACTGCTCCATTCTACAGTGCTCCATTCTACAATGCTCCCATCTGAGCGCTACAGTGCTTCCTTTTACTCTGCTTTCATCTGAGCACTACAGTGCTCCTTTCTATACTGCTCCATTCTACACTGCCTCCATCTGAGCACTATAGTGCTCCGTTCTACACTGCTTCTATCTGAGTACTTCAGTACTCCTTTCTACACTGCTCCATTCTACACTGCTTTCAACTCTGCATTACAGTGTTCCCTTCTACACTGCTTCCTTCTGAGCTCCCCGGCAATATATTTTGGTAAAGAAAGTTCTTTTCAGATGGTCTCTTAAGTGTTGAACTTTTCTTTAGCAGTGTCCACAAATAGCTCAAACTAAATCACAACAAAGCGAAATAGACTTTAAACTGTGAAATGTGTTAGGGTCTTTCCATATACAATGAAATTTCTTTTTAAAATCAGAATCCAAAACCCTTTGATGTTTTCCAGATGTCAAGTAGTTATAATCGAGCAGAGCAAACCTTTCCTTCATTTCAAATGTATCTGTAGAATGGCCATCTTCTCTGACATAACAGCACTGTCGCTGGTCAGCTTTTGAGTACAGCAGTCTGAGGATAATTGAGATTGTGCCACTGCATGGCTTTTCTTTATGCTTGTAATTACATATTGGTTCCACCATGCCATTCCTTCAGCATTACATCTGTGTAGTTTATTTTAACCTCAGACAGTTGGGTTCTTTCAAATCTAGACAAAAAGGTGCTAAATGAGTAGTGCTGAGGAAGCGTGCTTGTAAAATGACCTGGGCTTGTATTCACAAAGTTTCTTAAGGCATAAAGTAGCTTCTAATTTGCTTATTTAGGAGAAACTCCTAAAAATAATGGGTGTGTCAGTCCTTAATGTAGGACCCCAAATTTTTTTGACTAAGAGCAATTCATTAAGCCCCTTAGTGCTAGAGCGAAGAAGAAGCCACGAGGAATCCTAAGTCACTAAGACCATTTCACAAACAGTCCCAAAATGGCTGCTATCAATCCACGTTGCAATGTCTTGGAAACATTAAACGAATGCTGAGTTGCTTAAAGAATACCACCTGTCAGGAGGGAATAATAACTGGTGTGAATTAATGCGAATTAAGAGTCAGCAATGCTGTCATTGCTGTCATTGATGCCAAAAAGGGTTATTTTGAAGAGTCTAAAATCTGAGAAAATTTTAGATATTGAACACATCTTTTTGTTGTTGCAATTGCAAAGTTCATACTTTTCGCAGAATGTTATAATCAGAATTATTATTGCCCTTAGGTGTTTTCAGGGTTCTCCTTCAAAATCTGGAGTGCAGTTATATCGTTTTTATTGCAGGAGCAATATTTAAGTTTATACACTTTTCTGGAATGTTCTGGAAAATTTTTGAGAATAATATATTCTTAATTTAATTGATATTTAGTGGCTGGATATCAGACTTGTGTTTTGACAGGAAGTTAGTATTGTAGATAAAAATGGCATGACAGTTCAGTCAGGGACTCATTGCTTACTGTTCAATCATCGCTTTTCGTTAGCTGTTGATTTATTGCAACTGGAACCATACATCTGCATGTCTGCTTCATACCCACCTGTTTGCCTGCTTGCTCTTACAGTATTTTCCTCTCACTCACCTGCAACCTGCCTGCCACGCCACATGCTCACCAAACTGGATCTGCTTTCTAAACATACAATTTACATTCAATATCATTGCCTGTATTAAAACACATAAAGGACAAGTCAGCGTCTGATTAGTGGTTATTTGTTGTTGTTGGGATTTCATTTGGAAAACTGCTAATTTGCACAATCTTTAATTAACAACCACTTAGGTGGTGAACTGCATTTCTTTGTATGTTTTAATGTTCTTGACTTTAAATGTAATTTATATTATTTACATTCTTCATATGTCTAAATGTTTATTTTCAATAAAATCCTCTTTTGCACTATGACCAACATTTGCAATATGACCAACTGTAACACAAAACCCCTGAAATACTCACATGATTTAATTTATTGCGCTCTCAATTTGCTATTTTTCAGTTGAATTTATTTATAATTTCTATAGCTCTTTAAAAATAGAAGTTGCCCTCTTTATTAACCAGTATTGGTCTAATATTGGCAATGACACAGAGAGGGAAGCAAACAATTTACATGACGCCGCTTCACTTTTGGGGGGGTCTCAAAATTTAACGAGTTCCAGTTTGGCATCCATACAATGTCTCTGCAAAGGTTGAAAATTATACATCAAATAGTTTTTGAGTTATTATCTTAATGGTGTCATGTCAAAACTGTCTTTTTTGCTATTACTACTGTATGTAGCGCAGCTATAATTTTGGGGTGATCTGTCTCATAATTTAATCAATTCCTGTTCAACACCCATTCAATACTTCTGCTATGTTTGAAAAAAGATTTGTGAAATATTTATGGTGCTAAAGGGATCAAAACTCCTGCTGTTTTGTACTATCTCCATGCGGCACTCCTTCAATTTTGGGGCAATCTGTTATGTAATCTAAGCAGTTCTACTTCATCACCCATACAATGCCTCTGCAAACAGTTTTTGAGTTATCTTCTTAACAAGAAAAGTCTCTGCAGAGGCAGACTGGTCCCAAAACCATATATATTCCCCAGAGTCTAGGGAATACAATAATTTCACACATCAAGGCAACAAGGAGGACTCGGCTCATGTGTCAAAAGACAATACATATTAGGATCAAGCATGAGTAACTGTAGGAGTTCCCAGCATGACCGTGAGGCTAGAACCATCGTCATAGTAAATAGGTCAAACCATTTGTTTAAGCAGATCTTTAATGCCATGTTATTATACCTAAATTGTATTGACATACAGATTTCAACTTTTTGTGAGGGAAATTAATCCCTCACTTAGAGCTAAAAGTAGTTAGGAATGCACACAACAGCAATTAAACAGACACTACAGTTAAACAACTAAAATATTTATTAAATGAAAAAATGTACAGAGTTCTCCATCACAATGCTGACTTTTAGTGAACTCAGAAGAGATACTGTACACCGTAGAATGTTACACTGAGTACTTGAATGAAATATTTAGCCAATTTGTGAGTTGAATATTTTTTTCCAAAAAAGGAGCCATCAAATTATGACAAGACGTTTTCTTGTGTATTTCATTCAGGTTCTTTCTAAAGGACAATTTTATGGCAGATAAAATCAATTAATTACAATATGACACCAAATGTGAGATCAGCAATATACTGAAAGTGCAATTCGTATTGTTCAAGGTTGATCATTATTCTTTCCATATTTTTCCTCATTAGAATTGACAGATTTCATTGCTGTCAGATAATAGAAATAATAATCAGTGCTTCTATGCTAACCAATACTACGAGTTTTGGACAATAATACACACACAAAATCAGTGTTGTTAAAAAATACACACTTTGCTTTCTCCTACAAGTAGGTAGCTTAGGACTGAAGAATCTATATTAACACGTCCAGTGTCTTCTTGATATAGTCCTAGCTTTACACAGTATTTACAGACAAGGAACCCCCACCAAATTCAGATAAATACACAATTTTGGAAATTATGAACAAAAGCTCAGTATTTTACATTTACACAGAAAATCTAAGGGAAAATGTTTTAGTCATTTCATATAGTCCACGAATGACAAAAGGAGAGGGGGCTGTTTTGAGTGCTGAAAAAAAACTGGCATTGTTAGCTGTCTCTGCCAATCGCTACTGTGCTACTCCAAGGCTCATCCTGTGCATGTGTGTGTGCATATATACATCATGCATAGCATTGTGCAAAAGTCAAAGAAAATGATCTTCATTGTATATCTCCTTAGCATCTTCAAAAGGTCTTCGAAAGTAACCCTGGCAGCCCTAACAGACCCTTGTATTCTTTGGGCACTAGCACACCTTGTTTGGCTAAACAGTACATTGCTTATTATTTAACTAATTAAAATATCTAATTAATTGAGCTGTGGTTAAATTTAGCGAATACGTGTAATGGATGCAGTGCCCCTGAGGAGCGGTTTGGGAACTGAAGTGGTGTTCATCTAGCCAGCCCACAGTATGCCAGTGACTTCTTGAAGAACAGAACAAATTCTTGTTAGATTTTGTTGTTATGGATAATTAGCATATTTTCTAATGTTAAATTGTTTATTTTGACCAGACACTCAAGTACTACGCAGATAAAGAGCTTTAAACATTTTCTTTGACTGCCGAAGACATTTGCACAGTACATAGTTATATATTTATAAATACACATACACACACACATACACAAGAAAGAGGGTTTCTCTCTAACATTTTGTCACTGTTAATATGAGAACATCTTTTGGAGTTATTCTTTTGGAGGAATTTGTCTACCAAGGACATTTTTTGGGGTATGGACAGTAGAGACATGTCCCTTCCAATATTGTGGGAGTACTGTGTGTGTTTGGTGGAGTGGGTTCGGGGCTGATTTGGTCCTTACCAGCGTTGAAACCAAACCTACGCCCTTGCTTTCTACCTACTGAATTTGCTACTGCGCACAACTTTATCCTGATTTTAGGAATGTCTTTAGTTATTAGACTTAATGTAAACTACTTATTTAGCTGGGCGATTGTTGGGTACTGGTTCTCATTGAAAGGGGAGCCCCCATGATGGGGTTATATAGTTGCGACCTCGGAAGTTAAGAGGGAGGCTGTTGCTCTTTCAAAAAAATGTTTTTCCCTTCTTAAACGTATCAGTAACAGTGCTGCCAATAACCTGTTTAGTTCATGTTGCTTCTCTTTTGATGAGCAAAAACCTAAAAACACGCCACACTGACCAAGGAGGACCGGGAGAAATCGTGGGTTGATCTCGCTTTTGTGACAGACACGTTCAGTCCACTACGGCTTTAGCAGCATCTCCCGGTGCTACAGCCAGTAGAGCGACCGTTCTTTCTGAAAGCAAAGCTCCAGGCGCCTCCAAGGTGTTGACACTTAGGCCATAGTCTGGTGTATTGCAGAACAAAAATAAAACTTAAAAAATAACAGAGCTAGCTCTTTAAACCAGAGAAGCGCTCTAAGCCTTCAGTAAGAGCTGTGTTTAGTTGTTCATAAGACATTCCAACTCCACTGAACAGCAGGCATTCCCGTTCTACAGAAGAGGACAAAAAATTGTCATTAGTAGCTACCCAGGTAAATATGGTGTCATGTGTTACCCTGCGTGCAGGGAACCCTGGCAGCAAACTTTATTACCTTGCATATGCATGTGGTACAGGGAGACCCGGGCACGTCCCACACAGAGCCACTGAGGCGTGTGATGCCAGCGCTGTCCACGCACGTTTTCCTGATGTCGTAGCTGATGTTGTCGGCGAGGCAGGGGTCTGTGACACAGCGTGGGCAGCACTCGTCCTCAGACACTGCCGTGTACTCGCAGGAGAGCGTGGGACAGGCGAGGGGCCAGCAGTCCACCTCTCCTGCCTGGTACATACAGAGGAGGAAGAGGAGGAGGAAGGTTAACACACTCGCCTTGTGTGACGAAGCCGCCAAGACGGCATTCGAACAGGCATTCTTACATGATGAACCATAAATGGAGGCTGGGTGGAAGATATTAATCATACAGTCACCTGCAGGCAGAAACTATAAAAAATGCCATTTTGGTCAAGTGGCGCATGAGCTCCAGGTTACTGTCCCATTATTTCCCAGTTAATTGCAAAGCTGTCACTGTAACATGAGTCCTAGTCAAATTAGGCAGCCACAGCACTCGCCAATTAGGAGAAATGAAATAAGCCACTCCAAAGTAAGAAAGGTCACGTTTTAGCGATAGAGACCAAAATTGCATGCATTAAAATAATAATTGGTTACTGTCGGTATACTCACTGCCTTTTACAAATTAGCTTCAATTACTTACACATACATTCATTTCTTTTTTCATCAAAATTCAAATTAAGTGCAAACTTAATAAAAAAAAAACTCACAGAGTATAAAACAAATGTCTAACATTTAGCATCTAGCTCTGTTCCTTTAGCAATATTATTAACAAATTATTATTATTACTCTGTATGAATGTCTACTGCATCAGCGCATTATAGCATTTTATAGTTGTCTACCAACAAAAGGATTCAAATACTAGATTGTGTTTAAGGGTCATGCCGGTGTTTTACATTATACCTCTATCTTATAACAAATACATAGAGCAGTGTTTCTCAATCCAGTCCATAGGGACCCACAGACAGTCCATGTTTTTGCCCCCTTCCATCTCCCTGCCAGACAAACCACATTTTTTCTCCCTCCCAGCAAACAAAAACATGGACTGTCTGCTGGTCCCCGAAGACCAGATTGGGAAACACTGACAGAGGACATACCTTCCTTATTGCTGACCTTTCCACATGTTTTTGAATATATAAAAAGCAAATATAAGTGGCAATAATGTAAGTAAAGAATTTAACAGGTTTATTCTATTATACGCTATGCCCAGTATGACAGATGGTGCGTGTATAAAATGTATATTAAAGGAGTCAGTTACTAGCACTTCCTAGCCAAGAAAGATGACCCAGTGCTGTGAGTATACAGACCAGACATCTGCACTGCTGACAGCTGTAGATCCACTTGTCCCCGCTGTGGTAGAGCATGCTGCCACTCTGGTGTACACACTGGCTACTCTGTCGAGTGTCACACTCTGGACAGCATAGCAAATCTACACTGCGGTTCTGGCAGTCACATGCCATCCGCCTACATGTGACCGTGCCGTCCTGATGAAAAGAACAGGGGTTGTTGTATTAAAGCAGAGGTCATTACTGGTAGAGCTGAATTCCCTGCTGTTCCACTGCTGCCAGGGTTTTTGGGGGCACATCCAGTAAGAAACTGTATGGCATTGGCAGAAAAGCAATGGAATGGACTTTTACCTCAGAAAAAAACGGTGATATTAGATTAACCCTGCATTTTCTGCTGAACAGAGAAATATCTCTAATAGTCAAGAGCAGAAATTTCTCAAAGTAAGTCATATTTCATAATCAAGGATATGGTTATATAAGACAGAAAGCATCTTGAGAGTACTTGTAAGCTTTGCAGTCTAGTTCAGGGTGATCTTAGTGACAGGTATCCTCCACAGAGGACTCTGTTAATGCTTTGGCATTCATGGCATAGTCATGCTTGTGAGAGATGCTGGTACATAAAGCACCTCAGTATAACTAAAGAGTAAACGGTAAAATCTACTGAGGCACATAAGCCCCTTTAAGACCCATTGAGGTGAATTATGGGCACCTCTTTGGGTAATATCATGCTGATTTCTTTAGAGTGTGCTTCGTCTGTAACCCGAATTGAAAAAAAATACCTTATGGTATATTTGCCTATTTCAAGAAAAGAGATAAATGAAATAAAGACCTGCAGAATTATGGATGCTGCATTAAGAGACACTAGGTCTGGTAACAAGCAGAATATAACCCATATATACAAGGGTTTCAGTTTGGACGAGCCTGCTTAACACGGGCAGAGCTTGTGCATTCTGAGTTACCCACCTTGCAAGAGCAGACAGAGCAGTGATCCTGTTCCAGAGTCCAGACTTGCCCGTTCTGCTTAAGCGCCCCCTGGTGGAGGCAGTCTCCCGTGCATGGAGGGCTGGAGGTGCACAAGCAGTCAAAGCTCCCCTGCAGGTTCACACACGCAGAGTCATTCCAGCAGGTGTGTGTCTGTGTGGCACACTCGTCAATGTCTGCAACACACACAGGAACACGCTGGACAGTGTGCACACATCAGCATTTATTCATGTGTGAAATACACAGACATTACATACATTAATCTGCTGTGCTCCTTTTGAACCTGGGTGTATATGAGTGAGCTAGATCACATTCTTCAGGCCATAGATGTACCGGCTGATGCATATGTTGATATGCTGTGTAGATACAGTAAATCTTTACAAAGCAATAAAATTACACAATACTTCCTAGTTATGAATTCAATGTTCATTTTATTCCAAATAAACCTTTGCCAGGTTTCAAGACAGGGGAGATTAATTTGAGACAGTTGTACAAAAGGACATTAAAACATTACACAAATCTTCCAAACACTTGTGTTTTCAATTTATACAATATAGTGTGATTACAAATGATAATGTGTGCGATCACAATAAGGTGAAACTCAGAAAAGTAATCGGCATCCACCCTTCTGCATTACGGACAAAACTGAGACTGAGACAGAGCTTTCTAATGCTGGGCAGTATGTTTCCAGAATGCCCTGATAATCTTCTGATTTCATTGTGCTGCGCACAGATTTCAAGGCACCCGAGAGAGCACAGCAATCACATAACATTACTGAGGCTGCTTCATGTTTTACAATAGGGACGGTGTTCTATTCTTCGAAAGCATCATTTTGTCTTCTGTGAACATGCTGTGACTTACCAAAAAGCTCTAATCTGGATTCATCTGTCCAAAGGACATTTTTCCAGACGGACTGTGCCTTGTCAACATGCATTTCAGCAAGTTCCAGTTGGGCTTTTTTGTGTCTGTATTTCTGGAGTGGGGTCTTGTACCATGAAGCCCGCTTTCCTTCAGACAGCGATGGATGGTGTGACTTGAAGCTATAACACCTTGATTTTGATGGTCACCCTGGTTCTGTGGCTATGTCAAGGGTGGTTGCCTACTTTGCCACAGACCGTAAACTTCTTGATAATATTAGCAACCGTGGTCACAGGAACATGAAGCTCTTTCTACCCTTTACTTTGCTTGGCTATTACCTTCAATTCATTCCTCTCTGCTTCTCCTTCTCTTCTTCATGTTCTGTGTGATACCCATAATGACACAAAACTGTGCAATGTTTTCTATGCAATTGGTGACTGACTATAAGACTGAGGACATCTGTGATACTCCATCCATCCATCCATCCATCCATCCATCCATCCATCCATCCATCCATCCATCCATTCTCCGCTGCACACATGGTTCCAGGTCTCACCACCGGTCCTGGCGATGGCTGCTCCGAGTGGGTCAGGGGCTGGTACAGCGCCAAGGGGTCATAATGCAGCACAACAGTCCTGCACCGCTCAGGCATTGGCACCCTGTACACTACTTCGGAGATCCATTCCAGGACCTCCCTAGGGCCCCTCCAGTGGCTGTCGAGGTTGGTTCTCCACCCCTTCTTCTTGATGGGGCAGTTGCTTTCCTGCACCACTGCGCGATACGCCCACAGGACCAGGGGAAGGTGGACATCCCAGTCGCGCTGCTGCTTGTCCATGAGGAATATTAGTTGTGCGGCTAGGGTACAGTGAAACCGCTCTGCCAGCCCATCGCTCTGTGGGTGAAGGGCGGTGGTGCGGGTCTTTATGAACCCCAGCTGCTGGCAGACCTCACCAAACACCTGTGCCTTGAAGTTCCTCCCATGCTCGCTGTGTAGCTCCTGGGGGGTCCCAAAACTGCAAAAAACTTGTTGAGGAGCTTAGCCACGGTGGTGGTGGCACTCTGGCCAGGAATCACATATGCTTCAGGCCACTTTGTGAAGTAGTCCATCGCCTCAAGTATGTAGTGGTTCCCAGCCTCGGTGCGGGGGATAGGGCCCAGGACATCCACGCCCATGTGCTCCATGGGGGCACCCACCAGGTACGGTTGGAGGGGAGTCCAGGATTGCCGGCTAGGACCCTTCCTAGCCATTCACATGTCACAGCAGTGCACGAATAGCTTGGTGTCCTGCCAGCAGCCAGGTCAATAGAACCACTGCTGCAGCTTCCCTAGTATCTTTGCTGCCCCGAAATGCATGGCCCCCACAGCCCCGTTTTGTGATCTTAACATGGCGGGGCGCAGACTCCAGGGCACCAGCAGCTGCTTCCCTGTGCCCTTCGGCGATTGCCCACACCGGTACAGCAGCCACTCGTGCTTCTCCAGGGAATGGTAGGCCTTTGTATCCAGATCGGTCCTCCCAGCCGGTCACCTGCCCTTGGTCATTCACTCCCTCACCCTGGCTAGCATGGGGTTGCTGTGCTGCTCCGTGGTGAGTTGCTGGCGATCTACTTTTTTGTGAACCTGGTCAACTGGTGCCGTGTGGGCAGCAGCTACTCACTCCTCCGCTCGGCAACAGTGATGGCAGCTCTTGGTAGTGCAGGGGTGGCGAGAAAGAGCAGCTTCCCGTGGCAGCACTGGATATCAAAATCATCCTCCACCAGCACCTCCGACCAGCAGAACAGCTGTCCTTCCATGTTGTGGAAGTTTAGAAGCCATGCCAGTGACGCAAGGTCCATCCACAACTGGAACTGCCTTTTCACGCCTGCACCAGGGCCAGCAGTTCCCATTAAGTCATGTAATAGTTTCCCTCCTACCGGCTAAGTGTCTGGCTGAAGTTTGCAACCACACACTCCCGTTTGGGTGCCTCCATTTGGGTGTGACAGCATAGCTCCCAGCCCCACGTTACTGGCGTTCATGTCCAGGATAAAAGGGAGACATGGATCCAGACATGCTAACACGGGGGCATTGGCGAGTGCCGCGCAAATCTAGTTGAAGGCCATAGCACAGGCATCCGTCCACGCAAAACTGCTTCCCTTCTCTGTGAGGCAGTGCAGTGGTTTCACAATGCTGCTGAAATCCTTGATGAAGCATTAGTAGCCAGACCCAGAAAGCGACGTAGCTTTCTCACATTGTGCAGGGTTAGCCAGTCCCACAGTGCTGCCGTCTTTTCCAGGTGAGTGGCCACACCTTCCCCGTTGACCATGTGGCCCAGGTAGCTGGAGAAGGGAGCACTTCCGAGGGCTCATGCCTGCCGGTCATGGAGAACACAGTCTTACAGTTTCGTATTACCCCAGCAAAGTCAAAAGCATGGACCAGGAGATTGTCGAGGTACATGATGCACTCAGTTTGGGGGACATGGGACAAGATTCCCTCCATGAGCCGCTCAAACATGGCCGGGGCATTGCACAGTCCGAATGGCATTGACTGGAAGTGCCATAGTATGTAGCTGATGGAGAAAACGGTCTTAGGGTGAGCTTCTGTGGCCAGTTTGACCTGCCAGTAGCCAGTCCGGAGGTCCAGGGTGCTGAACCACGTTGACCTAGTGATGTAGTCTGGTGTGACATCGATGCATGGCAGTGGATGAGTCTTTCTTCATCACTGCATCCAGCCATTGGTAGATGACGCAGAACCGCCATGTCCTGTCTTTTTTGACTGCTGGAGCCGCCCACGGGCTGTCGGATGGCTCTATGACTCCTGCCACTGGCATCTCTCTGATCCTTTGCTCCACCGCTTGTCGCTTTGCTGGGACAGTCTGTGCGGATGCAGGTGAATTGGCAGGGCATCCCCTGTGTCGATGTGGTACTGCACCATGGAAGTGGGTTGGCAATCTTTGTCCCCAGCAGTGAAGATGTCCTAGCCTTAAGCTTGTCCTGCTGTCCACTGTCAGGTCCAGCCTGCTTCATTGCCACACTTCCTGTACAGCTTGCACCATCTCGGGAGATAACCCTCACTGCCATGTTACTGTGTTCTGTGATCGGGGCAGGGCTTGGGGCTGTGTTGCTGCTGCTCTTTCCTCAGTTGCTGCAGGCTGCTCCCTTCCCACAGTTACTGGTCTTCTTCACTCTCTGCTGCTGACTGCTGCTGTGGCACTGGAGGGTCACCATGCCTGTGCTGAGGCGGAGGGTTGCTCCCAGCTTGTTGATGGTGGCCCCCAGTCAAGTCAGCAGGTCCAGACCAATGATGCAGGGGTTGGCAATGTCAATGTCAACAAGCCAGACTTCCTGCACCACCGTGTGTCTGACCAGCTGGATGCACAGCTGCCTCTTCCCCTTCATGGCCAGGCACATGCTAGTCACAGACGTGAACTGCACATCGGTCATCCGGTCATCCCAGCCAGCTGGTGCAGAGTTTTTGTGCTATTCAGTGCTGTGTAACTTTTTTGTTTGATATTGCTTTGACATGAATTAATACCAGTTTGCTAAACAAAAATGATTGGTCAGTATCAACGAGGAAGCAGGACTCAACTGTCATTCAGAATTCTGGAGCTCAGGAGCAAACTTACACTGATATTTTGACAATATATCTAAGCATTTTGACTCTTATGGTTAAAATGATGCTGATTGTACTTTTCATTTTGATGGCACTGACTAATTAATTGGTGGAATCATTTGCTTTTGAGACATTAGCTAATTGTTTTGGGTAAGTTACAGGCTTTTGTAGGCTTATGCTGTATGCATAACATGTTTTGAGAAATGCTCTTATTGTCTTGAAAATGTTTCATGAAATGTGCCAAGCAATCGAGAACAACTGTAATTCCATTTGTTAGATAAATTAGTTATATCCATGACAATTTATAGGATAAGGAGTAACAAGATAAATGGATGGATCATAACCATATATTCATGTTATTTATGAAGTACTCTTCATGGAATTACTGGAAAATTGATTTTGCTTGAGAATTAATTCTTTGTGGAAGAGGACAAAGTAATTAAATCAAGATAACTGTCATCATAAATATTTTTACACATGGACATATATACAGCCTGTATCACTTTTCAGTTTCAGTTTTGTTTCAGAGTATGCTCAAAGAGCACTGGAAGTTCCCCCTAAAGGCCAAAATGGAATTCAGGTAAGCTTTTTAAGTTTGAGTTCCCCTTAGTCTGTGATACTTTGATTGAATGTACCTGTATGTGAATAACCTGCGATGGACTAGCACTGGAAATAAGGTTTCACATGTCCATAAAGTGAATGGAAAATGGCAAGAAAAAAAGCCCAAGATATCACAGTAAGTTTATATCAGTATGCAGAGATGAGATTTGTGTGTTTTGTTGCTTATGTAAATATACACCGGCTGATATTAGTATAGTGCATGTCTGTTTTTATATTGCACAGAAATATATATGTTAAAAGACATAAAAGCACATTTAAGTTGACCTATATATCATGCGATGCAAAATTCCAAAGAAATGGAATGGATTCTAAAGAATGCATCTGAAAATAGTATGGAAACCAACTGATGTTATATTTAATTGTTTAGTAGATCACAAAAGGTTATGAAGTTAAGTAATTCATGCAAATGTGTCACCTTGTGCCACCACACATATTGAGAAAATTCTAACATTTTTGGTTTACCATTATGCCCAAATTTCCACTTAAATGAATTCTGGCTTGACAGCCTACAGAGCCAAAGGGTCGATGATTAAGACAATGTTATGTTCCCTTGTGAAAATTAACCATGGTTTTACTATGATTAAATAACCATGGTTTACAATGGTTTGCCATTTTTCATGTTTTTTTGGGTAACTGTGGAAACCATGACTAAGGTTTTATCATGGTTTTGCTACAGTTACACCCTAGTATAATCTTGGTCATAAACCATGGTTTTTGTTTTACCATGGTCTTTGTTTTACCATGGTCTTTGTTTTACCATGGTCTTTCCAAACCATGGTAGTACTATAGGTAGTACCAAAGTACCATGAGGTACCACAGTAAAACTATGGTTACTGCATAAAAACCTGTGGCTGGAACAGAGCACTGTTACGTCGAGTGTGGAATAAAAAGGAGTGTGGTTGGTTGAGAGCACATACGCATTGGAGAGGGTGTGTGTTAGTCCGCCCCCCCCCCCCCCAAAGTGGCATGGGCCTTGAGTGTTGCCCGAAGACGGGAACAGTTGGAATAGTTGGCCAGCTCAGCTTGAGTGAAGAGGTGGAAAAACTAATAAATGAACAAACAAATAGATACAACCTGAAACAACCTAATTATATTTAAGCACCCCCTAGTCACCTCCTGGGTATGGTCCTTCATTACTGCAGGATATACAAATATCTCACAGTCAGGGTGGGGAGTAAGTGCCTCATTAGGAAAAACATGGTTGGAATAGGTATGTTATATTACCAGCTCTGAGTATGCCTCTTTCATGGATTCCACACAGTTCTTGTATCTGTGCCAGCTTCCTACAGCGTGCCCATTTCTCATGGGGAATTTGGCAAAAAACGTCTTTATATTAACACTGACATCTTAAGCATGCTGAGTTGCACTCTGGTGCTCACCAACACAGGATCCCCCGTCGAGCAGGTAAGATCCATTGTCCTGGAAGCCACTTCTGCACTCACAGTGATACCAGCCAGGCAGGTTGACACAGCGGGAATGGTTGTGACACTGGATCAGGCCTTCTGCACATTCGTCGATATCTGTCGAGACAGAGAGTAAGATCACACAGGTGTCATAAAATGTTTCAGGACTCTTCCAAACAAACATATCACTACTCTGGTATGTTTAATTTTTTATTGATACATGTGCATCCAGTGGATTCCATCAAGATGAATGTGATGAAGTGATATTTTGAGCTTAAACAATAGTGCAAGCCTTATGATACTGTATTCCATGGACTTCAGCAAAACAGGGCAGTTTTCACATTTGATCCTGTTAAAATGATAGCTCAAAATATTTGATTGATCTTTTTCAAACTTTACAGAGGCATTGAATGGTTGCTGAACAAACAAACGTAGAACTGATACATTTTCAGACAGATCACCCCAGAGTTGCAGCAGCGCTACATGGTAACAGCAAAAAAACGGGGGGGTAGTTTCAGACATTGGATCCCATTAGCGTGATAACTCCAAATGATTCGACAGATCGTTTTCAACCTTTCCAGACCTGTTATAAGGATGACGATATGGACCTGTTTAAATTAAATGATAGGAAAATGGGCAGATTTGAGTCTTCATCTCATTAAGATGATAACTCAAAAAGTTTTTGATGGATCATTTTCATACTCTGCAGTGATGTACGGCTGCCGAACTGGAACTGATTAAATTCTGAGACATGCTGTAAGGTTGAAGCTCTGGACATGGCCAAATTTTGGAACGAACATCACCAAAATGAAAGCAGTCCCACATAGGGATAACAAAGAGAAGGCCGCCTCACACATTTGATCTTGTCAGCATAATAACTCAAAAATTATTTTTCTGATCTTTTCCAAACTTTGCAGACACATTTTATGGGTGAGACAAATCACACCAAAACTGAGGCAACAGCATTTTGTGACAACAAAGAGAAGGATGAGATGATTAGAGGCTTACCCTTGTGAACAGGATCAATCTATATGTTACAATTTACAATTAAGTTTTTCAGAAAATGTAAGTATTAGAGTCTGCACCCGTCAATGATTTGCTCTGCATTAAAAAATGCTGTGTTCTCCTGTAGCTCGACAGATAGAGCATCGTTCAAGTAATTCAGACCACATAAAAAATATACAGGGCCAAGCATACAGGACATGAATATTTTCAGCCATGCCCCAAATATTTTTGTCTCAAAATTTTTTATTTCGTGCCACCCAGTAACAGCAGATCATGTTTCACATTTAAGTTCAGCAGAGAGGAACCATAGATTGAATTTTAGTTCTTCTGGGGAAATAAAATATTGATTTGATGCAGAGGCACACAGATGACACAACCAATACAACAGCTAAAAAACAAGCTAGCCTTTTCTGCTATTTCCAGTAGAGAATAAGCAATTAACGCAAAAACTAATCACAGCTTTCAAATGAGGTATTGCTTGCTTTTAGTAAGCAAAAATAGGCACAATTAGCCTGGACTGATGAGCGTTGATTTTTAAATATGTTGATATGCAGCAATCTCATGCAGAAAGGGCTGTTGTGTATGCAGGTTTTTGCTGCAACTCCCTAATTAGATTACAAATAAGAGGACTGATTAGCTGAAGAGTTCTTACACCTAGATTTGAACAGCTGACCTAAGGGTTATCCCAAAAACCTGGCCCTACACAATCCATATGGAGAGGTTTTTAAAAAATAACATATGACTCATGAGTTTATCCAATTCACATAAGCCATTTAAATGATACTCAAAAAATATTAAATTCATATTAACATGCGTTATGGCCTTTATTGAGGTAGAATACATATCAAATTAATGGTCTGTCAAACATATAAATACTACATTTATATACACTATAATTAATGTATGTCATTAGTCATATATGTCCTTTATATATGTAAAATAGATATTAATGGTCTGTCAAACATATAAGCTCTACATTGATGTACAATGCATATTAAATGCATGTTAAATGTTTTGTCAGTATTTCTTTTAATGCATAATTCTTTGAATGAATCAGTTGAATCGTGGACAGTGGTTCCACCGATTGAATGTGAAGGTATCATACATGTCTTTTCATTAAAATGTTATAAAAGCAATATACATTTTTATTAAGAAACAACAAGGACTAAACACATACCTCCTACTGTTTTATCACAAATGTTAAAATGTAAAGTTCATGCACAAGTTTTATATTTTTCCCATAGGTTTTTCCCTTCAGCGCCTTACATGTTAAGTATGTTTTTTTGAATCCTCAATCATCATACACATAAAAACACTGACTTGTAGTAAACATATAGAAAACATCATGCATTATCATACATAACTGAGATAAGAACAACACTTGATAGCCTTATATGAAACCTGCATTTTTTGGCCTTTTGCGGAGAATTCAATTCAATTTTCAATTCAATTTTATTTATATAGCGCATTATCACAACATTACATTGTCTCAATGCGCTTTACATTTCTGCCTCGTAAGGACCCCCCATTGAGTAAGCCAAAGGCAACGGTGGCAAGGAAAAACTCCCTTAGAGGAAGAAACCTTGGGAGGAACCAGACCCAAAGGGGGAGCCCATCCTCCAGGGGCCGGCAGATGAGTCAAACAAACAAGATGAAAAAGACTGGTCACTATATGCAGTCATAGCTCACAGGTGTGTGTTGTGTGAGAGTGTTACAATGATTTTATCATGTCTCAGGCTCTGCCAATTGCACAGTAATGGAAACGTGCTGTTTTGTTATCTAAATTATTACGTTAGACTACATTTACATTACATTAACATATTTAGCTGACACCTTTATTCACAGTGACATGAGCCTAGATCACAAGAGTGGAACTTTGACAGTAGAATCATTTCAACCATGATGATGTAACCAATAGTAATTGTTATGACTTAGTCAATTGCAGTTGAATTGTGACATTGCAGACAAATACACCTGAAAGATGAAATCAAAATGCTTAGATATGGGGTTTGTAGAAATTAAATTCAAAATAAAAACTACCTTGTAACGTGAACAACAGTGAAGTACGGTGGAGGGTGCATCATGATTTGGGGCTGCATTGCTAGCTCAGGGCCTGGACAGCTTGTCATTACTACATGGAAAATTAATTGGCAATATTTTAAAGGTAATTCTGCAGGATAATATCAGGGTGGCTGTCTGCCAGCTGAAGCTCAGTAGAAGCTGGGTGATGCAGCAGGACAATGACCATAAATACTGAAGTAAATTTTCTACAGGGTGGTTTTAAAACAGGAAATCTCCCCTTTGGCCCAGGCCTTAACCCAAAAGAGATGCAGTGGAATGGCGTTCGAGAGATGTTCACACCAGACATCCTAAAAATATGGCTAAGCTGAAGCAGTTGTACAAGAAAGAATGGTCCAAAACTCCTCCTGAATGTTATGCAGGTCTGATCCACAGCTACTGGAAGCACTTGTTTGAGGTTATTGCTGCCAAAGAAGGTTCAACTAGTTAGTAAATCCATGGCTTTGCTTACTTCTTCCAACCTACATTTGGAATGTTTGAATTATATATTCAATGTGTACAAGAACAATCACTAATGCAGCTCATTGTAGATGATGATCAGATCACGTTTTATGACCAATTAATGCCGAAAACCAGGTAATTCCAAATGGTGCACATACTTTTCTTGCAACTGTTGGTTGATGTACATATTTTGTTTTAAACACAGTATATACAATTTTAGTTCTCTTGCAAGAAATTGGGTCTTCCTCATTAAATGTGCACCAACTAAATTTTCTACAGCATACATATACTTCACCTCTACAAGATGAGGACAGAATGGTCCTTTCCCTAAGTCCTGTTAATATCATTGCTGTTCATTTCTTCAGAGTGCAGGTGGGCTAGCTGATTTGATAGCCAAAATGCAGGGGTTGTGGCATCTCACCACAGCTGGGCTGATTATCCCCCTGCTGCTTCTGACTTCACTATTACATTCCTGCAAGGTTACTGCAAGGGAATGTAACCTGCATTATACAGTCATCTGTCTAATGTCAAAGCAATGTCCTGTTGCTTTGACCTCCATTCTCATCATGAGATCTGCTGGAAAATAACATCTGACAAGTTGAGGAGGAACAGATCTAACCAGGGCTCTTTATTTGCAGGTCACTCTTCTTATGAGGTAATGCCTTCAGGATGAGAATGAAGTCTGTGAGACAAGGTGAGATGGAAATTAATGAGAATTAAGTCAGCCATTCTGCATGTGATAGAACAGCCGATCTGATGTACCTGTTTGTGAGGTCATTTTGAGTCCTGAATGTATAGTGTGAAGAATGTAAAGAAGCCCACTCTATACATTATAGATGAGACAAATGGTGGCAGCAGATGCATACTGAATAGGTGCAAAGAAGTCACACTTTCAGTTCATCTCGGTTTCTGCAGGTGTAAATGCAGTATCATGATTCTGACCCATTTGAAACATGACTGATGCTTTAGACTGACTGGATTTGCCCCAGTGGCTTTTCATGTGAAATCCAGGAGACGTTGCCATGAAATGCCTATTGAACTAGATTTGGTGGTGTTGAAACCGACAGCATTACAGTCCCTGGTTAGGCCTGTCACTTGGTCAGGCCATTTAATCCATACTCATCCCACACTCACCATCTTGTACTATTTGGATGGATCACCTGGAAATATGAAAGTTAATTAATGTGTTTTTACCTGAATGCTCTGAGTCCTTGTTGTAACATGTACTGTACATCTGAAAGTATACTTATTCATTTATTGCACATTCCACTTATATGAGAAGTTGCAGAATCATTCCCCTCCATTTAGTTACTTGTAATTGTGGTTACTTGTATTCCTTAGTATATATTTTAATGTCCGTTTGAAAATGTCATTTAAAATATTTACATTTTCTATATGTTTAAATATTTCTATCCTATTTATTTCTCTTTTGTACTATGACCAATATCGTCTGTGACATAACACTAAGAATTATAACTGGTACACTAATGATATATATGAGGTCAGGAGGGGCTACAGACAATTTTTTTTTTGATGTACATGTAACTCATTTATGTTTAACTGATGCTTTTATCCAAAAAGAGTAGCAAGATAAGGTACAATCAGAGGCATTTCTTGGTCCTGAAAACATCTAAGGCACATCGCAGAATATCCGGGGCTTTTTGTATGTACATGAAAATCACATTATGAGGTCCACGGATGGTTCGCTGTTATCCATGCCTATCTGTGGTAGGTCTTCCAAAATATCACTTGCAGATACTGGAGGACTACTGTAATTATTATTATTAATTATAAAGCTCAGGGAGCTTTGGTGTCATCCCACTGTTGCTGTAGATGGTCTGCTTATGCACTTTCATTTCATGCACGAGCAGATCCATTTCCTTTGTAGAGAAGTGTTCTTTTCTACTGCCTGGCAAATTCATCGCAATAATAGCAATCTGCCAAGGTGCAAGTGCACCTGCCTCTTGAAGGGAATGGGAGATGACACTCTGATTGGCTTACAGCATTTTATACCCCAAACACACCCATGACTAATTCCAAGACTTAGTATAACCCTTTTCGACCATGTTCCTTATATTGCTATTATCTTTCTGCCATTTAACCAGCAAAAGTGGGTTGGCCATGCCCCAGAAGAACTTGCGACGTGCACATCAGACTGTGCACTTTAGATAGGTAAAATAGGGCCCAGAATGTTTTAGTGTTTTTATAAGAACTCACACCTCCTATCTAGTTTCATTGATTGGACTCCAGGTTTGCTAACTCTTGACTCCATTTTTCCCTTTTGTTGAAGTCATTAGCCTAGGGGTTAAATTTTTCAACCTACACTGTGCATGGTTGAATGAAGAATTCAATGTGTACATGAATAATACAACAATTCGTGTGCTATCAGTTAAAATGGTTTGTGTTTATTCATTATTGTAACTTCGAAGATGGTCAGATCACACTGACCAATCAGTGCAGAAATTAAGGTTATTCCAAAGGGATAATGGGGAGAGGTTCCAATAATCCGATTGAACGTTAAAAATATTATAAGCCAAAAATGTATATGATAAGACACATAATTAAGTAAATAATTAACCACTGTCACTGAATAGGTAAATAAATAATTGCTGTCTTCATGCTGGGCAAATATGTTGAGTTTCATCCCTAAGCTTTCCTTTTTTTCTTCTTACCATAAGTAGGAGACACACAGGAGACATTTAGTAGATAAAATGCGCTTGGGGAAATTTAATTAAATATGGAGAAAAAAAACACCATGCCCTACATTGTTCAATGCTGTATGAGATGTTTACACTCTGTATAGAGACTGGAGGTGTGGCTGGGTGGATGCTGAGATTGCCCAGCATCAGTAGAAAGTATAATCCACCATATCATTATCCCATGAACCAGACAGGGAATTTGATGGCGGGGAATGACGAGGAACAATTGTTATATTTCACTTGTGATTTTTATTTTAAATGGAACATTTGTCATAATTCATAGAAAATATTGTGTATCGCTATTCCATCCTAAAATACAGAGAAATTGTTTTTGGTCCAACCCTGCAGACCATACAAGAGGAGGAGAGGGATATGCAGTTTCCCAAGTCACAAAGTAAGTGAAGTGTTTTTATTTGTTAGCTGACTACGGCTACGCTTACTTGCGATAACCTGATTAAGATGTCTACATGTGTTTTTAATGACCTGATTATGGCACTAGTCAGATAAACACAGTAATGAGGTTATTAAAACACTCCCCACACTCTTCCCACATCCAAGGTTTTGTTTGCATAACTGCCAAAGCTGCATTCTGGTTAGCCAGTCGGTACCTGACAGCTGTTTCAGGAGTCCCAAAAGCTAGCCAATCATGGAAGGTCTCCTTCTCCAGCCTGATTGCCCCATTTACCCCTGATGTCCCCCACTGGGTTCTGCAGTTGCCGCCGCGACAGGCACCAACAACCTTACAGCCACAGCTCTGCAGAGCTGCCTCAGCAATAGCAGCACGGAACACAAGCAATTTGGACTCAGTATCTCCAGCCTTTCTTTGAACGTAAGAGACATTTTGCCGGAGCTGTCAGTCAAAGGGGCCTCTGCCAGATGCTCAGCATACCGTCACTATATGTTTAGTTTCTGATATGAGTTTCCTGAAAGCTTCATGATGCTAAGTAGCTAATTACCTAGAACTTAAGATCAATCGTTAATTAGTGAGTGTTTCTCGAAATCCATTTGGAATTAACATAGTTTGTTATCTAGCTCTGAAATTTACACCGACCCACTTGTTATTTTCTATGTGGTTCTTTATTTAAACTTTTGCCTGCTGTCCTGTTACAGACCCGCACAGGAGATCACTAAAAATAGATAAAAACACATTGACACTCTTTTTTTGGACAACATAACGATGAGGGTGGTGATTATGACATAATAATGATAATAATAATAATAATAATAAGAAGAAGAAGTTAATGCTGCAATATAAAACTACAACGTAGACTATGAAATAGCGCAAAAACAGCTCATTGTTTTAAGACCTGTATGAAATTTCAGTACATAACAGGGTTGTGCACTATTCAAGAAATCATATGAATAGTGTAGGTGGAGCTGTAACAATGCAGCTTAATATTTTAATATGAGTTGCATGGCATGTTAACATAAGTAGCATACACTGAATCCCCACCCTGTGTACCATGGTGAAAGGGCACTTAATACAGTCATTCAAGTAACCCTATCACAGCCCTATCCATCTGACAACCCACAGACACTCACAAGAAAAGCTACTACAGACTCCTCACAAATGCTAAAACACATAAACAGTTAAATATGCAAAAACAATAAATATTTTCCCATGGAAAAGGGCTTAGAGAGCCAGCATTTCATTAAACTAAAAAAATTACATAATTTTTATCTTACAATCATGCAAATATTAAGTACACTTTACTCACCAGTACATACAGCTCTTTAAAAAAATTGAGACCTCTCCATATTTTTTAAAAATCTGCATTGATAAATCCTGGTTCAATCATGGTTCTGCTGGCAGAAGGCTACACTGATTGCTTCCAGGCTCAAAAATTTTAAGACTGCAGTACACAAGAACGATGTGAAATAGGAGACACTGTGAATGACAAAAAACCAGCCAGGTAGAGGGCATAAGCAACTTTCTAATGCCAGAGATGATCGTCAACTTATCCAACCATGCCACATCGATCAGAGGATGACATCAAGTGACCTTCAGAAGAATGGGAAACATTAAGTGGTGTGAAGTGCACTGCTAGGACAATTGATAACTGGCTTCAGAAGCAGGACAGAAGACCCATAAGGCAAGGAAGAAGCCCTTCATCAATGAGAAACAGAGAAGAGCCAGGTAGGAGTTTACAAAAAAATGTATATTTTACTCATTTTGAGTAAGTATGTCATGATTTCTTCATGTAAAGGCATTCTCCTATGATATTAAGTCATTCTATTATAGGGGTAGCCCTGGTTTCATGAAATTAAGTCAGTTATAAAGAAGACAGAAGCATACCCATAAATTGAGAAAAGTGTTAAACTAAAAATTTTGCTGTGGTCTCATAATTTTTTCCACAGCTGTACACAGAGCTCGCCACAATTATTGGCACCACTTGTAAAGATTTACAAAGATTCTTGGAAAAAATCTACCTTTAGGTGAAGTAGCTTCATCTCACACTGAAAAATGAGAAAAATCCAACCTTTCATTAAAATAAATGTATCTTATAGTGTGTGGCCAATTTAATTAAAATTCCAATTGATGAATTTAATGGAGCGCACTTCATAAATTATGAACAACCCTGGTAGGCTACATAAGTTGACCAATCAAACTTGCTATGCATTCCATCACATCCAATTGGGCCAGCAATGGCAGAGAATTGTGCAGCTCAGCCAAAGATGGTGTTTGAGACAGAGCCATCCAAGATGCAAAGTTTCTGGTCTAAATGCTCTCTACTTCTACACCACCAGTGGATTCTTGCAGTCCTACAGATGCACATGGCCTCAGCAAGGCTGCTGAGTCCAAATCTGTGCATGCATTGGTCACATTTCTATTGCAATGTGTGCACAAGTTCCAGCAGGAGGGAATGCCTTGTATAACATTAAAATTGGTTTTCGTGTCATTGCAGGCATCTTAGGTGCAGCGGATGGAACCCTCAACCCTATTCATATTTGCAGCCCCTTGACTCCTGTCTACACCATTCGAAAAGGGTTCTTGGCATTAGGCCAAGTGATGTCCAGGTGATATACAACCATCAAGGATAGTTTATAGACATTGTGGCCCGGTGGCCTGGGAGTACAATGTTTTTATCTGGTACAGCTTTGGAGTGTTTGGATGGTTCAGGATGGTGCATTTGCTGATGGCTGGTTATTGGGAGACATCAGGCATCCTCTTAGCAAATACCTGCTGACTCCAGTGTTGAATCCGCAAACCTTAGCTGAGGAGAGGTATCACACTGCACACACTGCTGTAGAGGGTGCTTTGGGCATGTGGAAGATGTGATTCTGATGCCTACAAAAGTTCTCGGAAGTTCTAACATTTTCCCCAGATGCTGCTGTGCTGTTATTGTTGTGTATGCTATGCTTCAGTAGTGATTTCATTCAAAAAAAATTTTGGCCACCTCCTAAATTAATTGCTTTGAAGCTTCTTTAGAGGCGTGTTACTTCCATTTTCTGTTGTTGCTTGCAACTGTTCTTTTTTACAAGGATGCAACATCACATTTTGAACCAATTTATGTATTTTCAACAAGTAGGTTGATTTGTCTTAATTTTGGTTGTTTTGGTGTGTTTTTATTGATTTGTAAATTAGTTAATTGAAATACTTGGGTTTGATGTTCCCACTATTGACAGTCTGTGCTTCACTTATGTGGAGGCTGTGGAGGAACCAACAAAGTATTTTAAGTTTGTTTGCTAATTCTGGAATGATGAAGGCTTTTGGAGAAACACAAATCTCACTTGTTCGTTACCCATGTCATTCGTTATCTTGTTCATTATTCAGCAAGATCAATCGTTATCAGGAAACTCACACTTGTCCGGCATTTTCCCCCACTATCTGATCCAAGTCACCACCAGCTGATCAGCTGACGGTTCAGCTGCTGCTTGCTTCACTCGAGTCTCCAAGACATGCAGTCACAGATCCGACAATAAGATTACAAAATCGATCACTGAGCTGTGGCCTAGGGTGCTCTGGTGCCAGGTGCACTTAGAACACCTATATATTTGAACATGGCGTTTGTTATGGACAAACTGTGGTTAGCACAGGCGGCCAGTAATAGAGCCCCACTCAGGTAATGATCAGGCTGGCTGTTCCTACCAATCACATCCCTCCGGGTTTCACTTTTCACAGCAGCGGGGGCATGGTGCAAGCGTAAAGAAGGCAACAACCCACTAGCAGCGGCAACAGAACACAAGGGGTTTATTGGCAAAATAAAGGAGAGAAACAGACACAGAGTAATACCTACACAACCACAGGCAAAGATTCACCGCAGGACTGAACACAGAAAGCAACCTAAATACACCAAACTGACCTGGACTAATGAAGACACAGGAGTGCAAGATTAACTAATCAACCAATAACAGGAAATACAAGGTAACAGGTGGAACTAATGAACAGAGCTAATTACAGAACAAGGGAACTTAACAGACAACTAGAAGAACTTAATTGGACACTAAGAACACAAAGCAAAACTAATCACAGAATCCAAAGATACACAGAAACTAGAAAACATCGATCTAACCCTCGGACTACAAGGCTAATTTCAGAATTCAAAAGGTACAAAACAAAACCATAACCTAAAACAAGGAGGGTAGACCATGGGTGGGAGAATTATGACAGGAAACCCAAAAATCAAAACTACTACCATTGAGGACAAAAAAAGTCGAATATAAAACCCAAAACGTGACAGTGGGATTTACCAGCCTCATACCTCATTGGTTCACATTCTCTGAACCACACACTCAGCCTAGTGAGCCACGCAGTGGTCTGGGACCAGTGAGAAACACACAAGGGTAAAGGATACAGCTACATAGAGGGGAAAAGGCAGAATGGCCAGCAACAGCTGCTGGACAGATGGGGAAGAGGAGAAGGGCAGGGTCAGAACGGGCACTGTCCATGACATCACTGTCCATGACATCACTGTCCATGACATCACTGTCCATGACATCACTGTCCATG